GGCACACAATCAAATACTGCAACATAAACAAACAGAACTACAGCACTCTAAAATAATGCAAAACTCACACAGACAGTGTTGAAAGAAGAGACGAACGTGACAATGATGCATATAACATTTCCAAGCTTGCTATAATACAATAAGCATATTCTTGCAAATGTTCATTTTCCCAGAGTGCCGCAAGGCTCCCTATTCAGCAGTGCATAGTAACATAACACCAAAAAAACAGCTCTCAATTCATCACATAAAATGTGTCCTGTGCAAAGCACAGCCAGTTGCTTGTATTAAGTTTAAAAAAATATGAATATAGAATTACTCATTTTACAATGCATCAAGCATGTCCTCGAAAACAGAATATCAGTAGTCATCTTACTTAAATGTGCACTTAGGGCGAATTAATTCGATAGTGAGCATCAGTACACCAGACTCACTATGAACATCAAACATTCTTTGTGTTTTTAACCAAAATTATGTAAATACTGAAAATATGCAAAACGCAACTATATTTTCAGTGCATAGTCTTTGGGAACAAGAGCAACTGAAAAATAAAATCCCAGGTAGAATCTAAAATAAATTACCTGAGGTTTCACAATAAATCACAAGGACTCCCTGGATCATGTAATCATTAACAGCATATTCACTTCCTTAAAGTGACTACATACACTTCACTAACGGCCTTAAAGGGATAGTTCACCCAAAAATTCTGTCATTAATTACTCACCCTCATGTCGTTCCAAACCCGTAAGACCTTCGTTCATCTTCGGAACACAAATTAAGATATTTTTGATGAAATCTAAGAGCTTTCTGACCCTGTATAGACAGCAATGCAACTGAAATGTTCCCAGGCCCAGAAAGTCGTTTAATAAAGTTATTTTTGTTTTCTCTGCGCACAAAAAGTAATCTTGCAGCTTCGTAAAATTACAGTTGAACCACTGATGTCACATGGACTGTTTTACCTTACTACCTTTCTGGGTCGGGGAACATTTCAGTTACATTGCTGTCAGAAAACATTTTCGGATTTCATCAAAAATATCTTAACATTCTGAACATGAACGAAGGTCTTACGGGTTTGGAACGACATGAGGGTGAGTAATTAATGACAGAATTTTCATTTTTGGGTGAACTATCCGTTTAAATTGCTCACTTTCGTTGGAAAGACTCTATGATCACTCCTCTTACCGAAAGTGTACTTCAAGGGCGCAAAAATGCTGTCTGGGCTGTGTCAGAAATCGCATAGTCACTGAGGTGGTGCTTTTTTTTCCAATACGTAATTACTTCCCTACTATATAGTATGCAAAAACAGTACGCCAAAAGATGTAGTACCTACTCAAACAGTAAGCGATTTCAGATAGACCACTGGACTTTTTGCTGGCTCTGATTTGTTCTCTTAAAATACAACAGTGCTCTTGGACTTTATATTGACACCTACTGGCCTGGATGAAGGTTTAGTGTTTATCATTTTATGTAGAAATGAGTATTTCTATCTCTACCTTTACAAGGCTGCAAGTACACATAAAGTGTGCCATTTGGGGCAGAGCCAAAATGTTATGTTGAGTGCACATCATTTAAAATATCAAAATGTGTTGTTTTTTATGTCATCACAGAGTAGTGCTGCTTCTAAAGCCTACTATAGTCCAGATAAATAGGCTCTAATTCGAGGCTTCAGTTTTCAGCTAGTAATCTTCTTTTTGGGCAGGAAGGCACTAGTGATTTGGTTCATCACCACTAAGGCAGGAAAAAGTGGGAGGAGTAGGAATATATACCAGACTGTGCCTGTCACCGATGCTTGAAACCAGTCTGTAAACATGGCTGACATGACAGTGACGGTGGCCAGCAGGTAGGCCACCAGACCACAGGTGGCATGATACAGTCTCAATCGAGGAAACGAGCGAGTGCTGATGAGTTTGGGGAAGAGAAGAAAGACGCCACAGATCACCTGCAGCACGGTAGCAGCCATCGTAGTGACTCCCAGCAGGCTGTGCCAGGAAGTGAAGTGAGGATGCTCCTTTATGTTCTTGCTGGCCACCATGAAGCCGAATCCTGTAGCTCCACACACCAGCAGCAGAGCCTGGAAGAACCAGTGCAGACGGACCTTCCACTTACGTGATTTGAAGCAGAACGGGCTGCCCTCGGCAGAGAAAAGCAGGATCCCTTCTGTCATGCACAGGCAAAACTAAAACAGAAGAGAGAAATAGTAAAGCTTTCATGAGGACCCTTAAAGGTAAAGCACATAGATACTTTAGTATACAGGATGTATACTTTGTTCCAAAAGTTGGGATGGATTTTTAAATGGTTGTGAAAAAGTCTCTTAGAGAACTTCACACAGAACGCATCATCTTCGTGTCTAAAAACGTGAGATGCGGGGCTCAGGAATGGTTTTTAAAAAAGTGCAACGCAGAATGCCTCTTCTGTCATGTTGCTGTCAACAAAACAGTTGCCAAGCCAAATTGCTACTGTAAAAAAAAAATGCTTGTCCCGCCTCCAGGGTCCTCTGATTGGTCCATTGTTTTGGAGCTTACATTAATAAGCATGATGAGCGTGTAAAAGTTGAAATTCTTTAAAATGCAGCACTCGTGTATGAAACACTGCAAAAGATGCGGGCGCAACAGTCATTAACGTCTGTATAGAGAGTGATTACATAGAGAAACAATGGAAAAGTAGTGCATTGGAATGGAGAAATGCGTTCTGTGGGAACAGCCCCTTACTCTAGTCTTTAATATCACATGATCCTTCAGAAATCATTCTAAAGCTGATTTGTTGCTCAAGAAACATTTCTTATTATCAATGTTAAAAACAGTTTGGGCTGATAAATACTTTTGTGGAAACTGATGCAATTTTTCAGGATTCTTTTATAAATAGAAAGCACAAAAAAACTGTTTATTTAAAACTGAAGTCTTACTGAAAAAACAAATCTGACTATTTGCTATACTGTACATGGGTCAAAATCTGAGACTGACCTCTGTCAGGTCATGTCACATTATTAGTACAGAATGTGTTATCTTTGTCATCAAGATGAATGTAATCAGATTCCCACGGGAAAGCAGCTAATTCCATTGGCTTTGTGTTTCACCACACTCAATTCATTATTTACAAAAGACATATTTTATTCATTCCCCGAGAGGCTGAACATCACTGAGACACAATGCATTATTAAAACCTCCAGGACTGATTTTATATATATATATATATATATATAAAAATATTATCCTTTTATCAATCTATGCCTGAAAACATGATACACTGTAGAATATTTTATTGTGTATTTGAATGTATAAAAATTTACCCCAAGTGACATGCAGACAGGATGCCATGAGAAGAGACCTGAAATTAATAAACACAGGAGTTAAAGTAAAATAGAGTTTGTTAATATTTGGAAATGCTTCATTAATTTTCATTTTATTACCAAAAAATATATGCGTATTGTCATTAGTTTATGGTCATATTACAGAATTACCGTGGTACAAGTCCAAAAAGCATAGTAATATGGTTCTTTTTGTACTTTCAAATTGAAACAACAAAATACTGTTACTTCCAAAACATGGTACTACCATGGTAACATCGAAAAACCACAGTATTTCTTGTTTTGTTGTAGAAATGGATACATTTGGAGTAGAAATGACAAGGCCTTTTCACTTCTATACTCAGACATATTCATAAATCAATGTAGGCCCATATTTAATATTAACATGTCAGTTATTGTATGTGTTTGCGTTTTATGTTATTAATACTTATAAAGTATTACCAATACATTTTAACACCATAAATTGTCATAGTACTATCATATTTTTGTTCATGTACTATGGTATTTTTAAGTAACGTTACCTTGAATTTCCATGACATTACCGTCTGATACCATGGTACTGCCACAGCACTTTTTGTAAATGAAAGAGCTGATGTACAGAAGCGCAGTGACTCACTTGTTCCCGGTCTGGACAGTATGGATGTGAGAATGACCAGACCCAGTGAGATGATGTGCGCAGCGAGCACCGCGGCTCTGCGCAGCCACACATAGAGGCAGAACTCCCGCATCCCGAGCCCCTCTCCACCCACCGCGCTGTACTCCACATCCGACGACGAGCGCGTCCCTCTCGCCATTCCTGAGGATTAATTCGCAGCTCAGACTTTTACATGCACGTCTAAACCACACAATAGAAATACATCTTACGTGCCATTCTTACCGAGCTTCACAAAACCTGATTTTTAGATCTGAAACGCATAATATTTTAACTTGTGAACTATCTGGGTAAAATGAAAAATGCGTTAGCTAGGTTGTTATTCCTGTTGGGTGCCATTTTCGTGTTTGAGACAGCGAGACTTGCATTTCCTGGATTGGAGTCCTACTACAGTAAAGGCTTGTCTCTTAATATTCAGGAGCCATGCAGTTGCAATACGCATACATTAATATTCAACAGCCAAGCGTTCGCTATTGGTGCGCAGCGAAGGAACGTCAGCATATCCTTTTTTAATATTCAAAATGAACATACGTAACTGTAAGCTACTTAATTATTCATGAGCTAAGCTTCTGCCGGTGTAGTTACTCATGCGCAGGGAGACATCTAATGACGAACAGGTGATCCGTTTTCACACACAAAAACACATTTTGCCAGTTTTGTAGACTTGGCGAAGGGTGCTCAGTCTTTAGTTCTACGACAAACGGATCTCCAGTATTTTTCCATGATTATTGAATAAGGATTTTTTTTTAAATTATTTTTTTATAGAGATTACGGTCAAAAAGAGCTCAAACGTCACTACAAAAATAACTACAAAATATAACGACACAAAATTTGACTATAGATGAATATAAATTTAAGACAATGAGTAAAAAAAAAAAATAGTGTTTTCTTTCTAAAATGTTATACTTTTTTTGAATCACTGTAATAGGACTGGAAGTGGATGATAATGGAAATAAGAAGTCACAATGACAGGTTTCATCAAATTCACCCATTTACCAATTTTTTAAAAAGAATGAATGAATAAATGAATGAATAAAGAATAAAGGCTGAGTATAAAGAATATTTTAATCCATTTTATAAACAACATTTACGTAGCAGCATTATTCAGTAGATTCTGAGGTATTTTCTGAATTCACAGAGAAATTCACTCCCCCGTCTTGTTTCATACACCTCCACACACACACACACACACACACACATCAAACAGTCAGTCAAACATCCAGAGTCCTGTGTCCATAGTTCTATATGGTAGAGTTCGTAGGGCTCGCTCTTAGTGGCTTGTAAGGCTGGCACTCTCAGTGGTGCAATTTTGGCTGTAGAAAAAGGCAACAGAGAACAATTAATATGATAATAACCAATGTTAACATCAGTGTTAGAATATTAGGTTACACTTTATTTTAAGGTGTCCTTGTTACATTGTAATTATACATTTAAGTACAGAGTAATATTAATTAACTACATGTACTTACTACATGGTTAGGATTAGGGATTGGCTTAAGGTTACTTGCATGTAATTATGCATAATTAATTGTTACAATAATAGTAATTACATGTAACGAGGAGACCTGAAAATAAAATGTTACAGTATATTATACCCATTCCTCCTCAGCGTCACATGATCTTTCAGAAATTATTCTAATATGCTGATTTGCTGCTTAAGATTTTTTTTTTTAATTTCATAAAATACTGATGCCAAACTTTTGAACAGTAGTGTTCCTCATCACCTTTTCACATTGCAGATCCTTGTAAAATGCATTGTCTAAAATGGCCAAAAGAAATCCACTGAATTTCATGTGACCCTGGACCACAAAACCAGTCTTAAGTAGCACGAGTATATTTGTAGCAATAGCCAAAAATACACTGTATGGGTCAAAATTATTGATTTTTCTTTTATGACAAAAATCATTAGGATATTAAGTAAAGAGCATGTTCCATGAAGATATTTTGTAAATTTCCTACTGTAAATATATTAAAACTTAGTTTTTGATTAGTAATATGCATTGCTAAGAACTTCATTTGGACAACTTTAAAGGCGATTTTCTCAATATTTTGATTTTTTTGCACCCTCAGATTCCAGATTTTCAAATAGTTGTATCTCGGCCAAATATTGTTATATCCTAACAAACCTTACATCAACGGAAAGCTTATTTATTCAGCTTTCAGAAGATGTATAAATCTCAATTTCGAAAAATTGACCCTTATGACTGGTTTTGTGGTCCAGGGCAGACATGTTCATAAGTCTCTGAGGTCCAAGTCCAAGTCACGTCTCAAGTCTTTGTTCTATTTTTAGCAATAGTTCTTTTAGATAGTTAACAGTGTATGAGGCTAAATCAGTTTTGAAATATTAAAACTATAATTACTTAAACAGAATGTCTTGTTCATTTATTCAAAACGGTCTAATAAAACAAACTTTTATTGAAATCATTCAATTTTATACAGAATGTTTTTAAACCATTTTATTTACCGGTATTTTACATTATTTCTGAATGTAGCAATAAAATGTATACACTGATTTGTATGCGATCTTATGTTTTTTTTTTTTTTCCCATTAATCAGTCACAATTCTTACTGTTGGTTAATGGGCTATTTATGGTCATCCTTAATTGTTGCCTTTTTTTTTTTTTTACTATTTGTCTTTTTATTAATTAATTTTATAGCTTTTTTTTTGGCAAAACTAATTTTAAAATTATGGTTAGTTTCAATGGTTATATTTACCCCTATTTTAATTCATGTTTAAATGCATTTATGTTGCTTCATAATACGATTTTCTCACGATTTTTTTTTATTTTTACAAAATTAGCGCAGACTCGAGTTTCCATCTCTGGTCCAGGGTCACATATAATTACAACACTCTTATTCAAACGAACCCTCATATTTGTGTAGAATTGTGTCTAATTTGGTTATGCTTTCAAAATTGCCAGCTGCAATCACCAATAAAACGTTGTTCCATGTTTTTTTTTCTGTATCGTCATAAATATCGTTATCGCAAATATTCTTGAAATATCGTGATAGAATTTTGAGGCTATATTGCCCACCCCCGTGCAAATGATACGTTCCGTCATCTGTCACCGCGTTATAAGCGTGGAACCTGCGGGAATGAGTAGAATGGTTATTAATAGCCGCAATCCCGCGCCGAAATTCAAGTCCTGCTCTGTGTTCTAATAACCCGACTGTGAATGATGCGAGCGGCGTCACTATGTTGTT